TTTTTTTTATTATGTTAGAGGGAAAATAACTATTTGTATTGTACTTGTATAACGATCGATAAACATAAACAAATCAACCAACAAACAAACAACTTGAGAGAATGAATAAAGTGTAATTTCTAATTTCCAACAAAAAAATGCGTTTTCACTGTTTTAGGCAGCCACAATGATATAGATTTCCCAGGAACGTCAGGGGGCACCTATTCATATACAAGGACGCGGTCCAGACATGCATACATAGACCAACCACTGGACCCGACGACGTACTGACGATCATGGCGACTGGGAATGGAATTGATGACCTGTGTTCGAAAGTAAACGGGTATCTCTCCGAACTTTCTCGCTTCTTCACTGCAAAGTGTCTAGCCCTCTCTCCTACGAAATCCTCCGCGACCCTGTTCACAACCTGGACGAAGGAGGTCAGGCTACCGCTGGGGATTCACGTCGATGACACACCAATTCCGACGGTGAATAACCCCAAAATACTCGGAGTAACATTCGACAGCCTGCTCTCCTTCTCTGCGCACACAACCGCTATTGTCAATAAAGTACAGAGCCGCAACAAGGTCCTCAAGTCGCTAGCCGGCAGTACTTGGGGCAAAGACAAAGAAACGTTGCTGGCAACATACAAGGCAATAGGCCGGCCGGTTTTGAACTACGCAGCGCCAGTGTGGTCGCCAGGGACTAGTAGGACGCAGTGGACGAAGCTACAGACTGTACAGAACACCGCACTCAGGACAGCGACAGGATGCCTCCTGATGTCGCTCGAACACCATCTACACGGCGAGGCGCAAATGCTCCCCGTAAAGGAGCACAATATAATGCTCTGCAAGCAGTTCCTGATCGGGAGCCACAGAAGTGGCCACCCAAGCAGACAGCTGCTTGCAGAGGAGCCCTCACCTAGGCACGTCAGGAGGCATCTATATGAACTGACAGACGAAGTCTAGAGGTTCATCAAGCAACCTCTGGACCCGACAGCTTACCGACAGGCCCTGAACGGCATTCACAGGGACTCAGTCTCGAGTTATGTAGACTCTAGACCTGTGAATGCCGTTCTAGGCATACCACCCCCGGACATAGACGAGACGGAGCTTCATCTGCCTCGGGAGACTCGCACAACACTTGCACAACTTCGCTCCGGCTACTGCAGCAGGTTAAACTCCTACCTGAGTAGGTTGAATGAGGATGTGCCGAATGAGTGTCCGGCATGCGGAGAGACCCCACATGACTCGAAACATCTCTTCGCATGCCCGGAAAACCCGACAACCCTAACGGCCTCGTCCCTGTGGACAAACCCCACAGAAGCTGCACGCTTCCTAGGGTTGCCGTTAGTGGAACTTGACGACAACGACTGAGATACCAACCGTCCTGGGCGGGGTTGTTGTAGCCGCTACAACAACAACAAC